TTTGGCCGCAATAGTCTCATGTATGTGCCAACAGAGTTGTTGCGTTTTTTGTCTCTATGTGCTAACAGTTTTGGCAGCACCAAAGCATGTTTCCATACTGTAGCGTTTCTGCACACAGTTTCTGTTGCCAAGGTCTGCGCAGTCAGAAATTGTTTGCTGGGTAGGTTTGGATTGAACCTCGCTTTGCGTTGGAAGTTACTTTCCATATAAAGCGAGGTTCAATCCAAACCTATGTATGTGTCTAAAATCGATTCTATATATGTGGTAAGTTTTTAAAAACTTAAAAAATTAAAAAAAGTAAGTTCTTATGTTTATGTTGTAAGTGTGTAGGCAGGGGGGGGCTGCGCAGGGGAGGCTGCGCCCCCCACACAGGGGGCCTATGCCCCCCTGCGAGGGGAGGAGCTTCGCCCCTCCCCCCGCACTCCCCGGGTAAAAATATAAAAACTAAATTGAGGTTTTTAATTTGTACATTTTTAAATTTCTTTTGTGATTTTTATTTTTTAACTTTTTTTGTATTTACAATATTTTAAATATTTTAATAAGTGCTTAAAAATCTCTTTTTCAGTGAGTACAACTATCATATATAATATTTTTATTATGTATTATATATGTGTATACATGTTATATAGAATCGATTTTAGTCGATATAAGTTTTATTTTTTTTTAAATTTGTTTTTTATTTCTCGAAGTTGGGACTACGCTCGTTTTGTTTGTTCCATCAAACACTATTTTTGTGCAAACTTTCAGATTGATCGAAAAAAGTAGTCATTCTGAAATACATCTAAAATCGATTTTAGTCGATATCGTTTTTATTTTTTTAAAACTTTGTTTTTTATTTGCCGAAGTGGAGACTACGTGCGTTTTGTTTGTCCCATCGAACACTATTTTTGTGCAAAATTTCAGGTCGATCGGGAGCAGGGGTCATTCGGAAGTACACCCATGTAAGTAAAAAAACTGCATGAACTTATTGGCCTACCTAATATGTACTATATATATATGTATGTATATGTAATAATATATTTTATTATTATTAAAAATAGATATGCATGATACTGAATATTTGTTATTAATTATTTGTTTCCTTTACATTATATTTTTATGATACTATTTCCAAGAATATCAGGTCTTTGAACTGATTTTAAATAAAACTAAACAACCTATTTTTTATAATACAATTTTGTTAAATTTTATTTAAAATTAATTCAAAGACAATATTCCTGAAAATTCTACGTGCTTAAATATATATATAGTATATATAATATAATACTGTATAACTGTTACGCGTCCTGATCCATGGATACGGTCGGGCTGTGGTGTGACGCAACAGTAAACGCGTCGATTTCCATATCTCTCTTTACAGTGGACACGGAAGTCCCTCTGTGAGATAGTCGAGTCAGTTTGTTTATATTCGTCGACAAGTCAACGACGTACGCCGATCTTACTCTGTCTAGCGAACACTTGCTCGTTGGTCCCTTTTTAGGTCTGAGACGCAAATCATATTTACCAAGGACGAGACTTACCCAGACGGCACATGATATCATTTGATTGTAGAATGATATCGTTTCTACGTCATTTTCGTGATATCATGTGATATTGGAACTGCGTTGGAATGTCTGCATTTTTTATTTATTTATCAGACCGTGCTCCTTAAGATTATCACCTGTTTCGTTTTCTTCAGAATTATTTGAATGAGCAGTTTTTTTTTCTGAGGATGCCATCAAATAATATGTCGCCGATAAAAACAAAAAGTTCTTTGAGAGAGAAATTATAAAATTACTCAAAAGATGACAAAATAATGAATCAAAACGACTGATACATTGTTAAATAAAGTTAATTTCTTCTATGAAAAAATATATATATATATATAGTCTTTCATTTCTACAAATAAAAAACCGCACGAACTTATTGGCCAATCCAATATTAAAAGATAAGAAAATTGTATTGTATTATATTGTATTTCTGTGTATTGTATACAAAAATTGTAGTATAAAAATTGAAAAAATTGTAACACATCTTTGATATATAAATTTAAAAAAAGCAATCAATCAAACAGTTAAAAGTGTATTTCTTGAAAGTGTAACTTTTTATACATATTTATTTGTATACCGTTAAAACAATTAATGTAAAGTATATATTTTTTGTATACTTTGTAATGTATCTATTATATGTAGCGTTTTTTTGAAAAAAAAATTAAAATTTAGAAAACAAATGACAACAAATGATAATGTAAAAGAAGATGATATCTGATTCTACTTAATAAATTCTGATGTTGCTTGCTAAATTATTTTGTGTTTTTTCTTACCAATCATACATACTTCCATATTATGTAAACAGGTGCAGATCTCTATTTCTTTTTATGTTCTCTTTTCTGAGATCAGCCATTTTAATTATCGAAAGTCGACGTTCGCGGCAGGTTGCTATTTACGCATCTAATAGAAGCGCGAAACATAGAAATTCTAATTGATATTACTAGCAATAAATAACTCTAACAAAGAAGATACTTGATTACACACTCCGTAGTAATGTTGCACAGTTATAAGGAATTTTGATGCTTGCTATAATTGTCTTTTTCACAATTTATTAAACATTTATACTATAACAATTAGAGAATCTTTAGGCTCTGAAGTTTAAACTAGAAATATATAAAAGGTAATAAAAGTTGTTCGCTGGATGGCTCTTATTACCATTTATATATTTCTAGTTTATACTATAACGTATATTGTGTAGTTTTTACATTGTTCCTGTTTTTTAAATACGCGTAATCATGTAGCTGCAGCAACGCGCATATACGATATTTTATTTCTCGCACACGCCTCACAAAAGTGCGAAAACGGCCCCGAAATTATTTCATTTCATAAAACTCGCCGATTAGTACAAAAGCGCGACTAGAAAGAAATCTGAAAAACGATCATTCTATTATATTGTCTTACGCTCTTAACCGCAAATTTCAGCGTCATATATTCACGAAAGTAGATGTAAGAACTGCACAGCAACATCGACTTACAAACGTAGACGGTAAATGACGCTCAATTAGAGTCCTATATTTACTCTCAGATGTATATGTTATTGAGTTTTAATCCGTACTACATCTACTTTACTGTCGATAAGTATTCACTCAAATAAGCACAAATCTGTTAAGATTTAAAAAAGCAACGAAAATTAAATTATTAAGAACAATAATTACAACGACTTCAATAAGTATAAACTTAAATCAAGAAATAGAACTTTACAGCTATATATACGTGCAAAATATAATTTTTTTAACTTCTCAATCCGGCGACTGCACGGAATGCGAGAAATCTGGTTTCGACTCTTGGCTAAGATGTCTATTTTACATTGAAATGTTTTAAATTTCATTGAGAAGTTAAATAGGTAGATAATATACATACACATGTGACGCAAAGTAGCATCTTACATGAACTTCAGAATTGTTATTCAATTTGAATTTTCTGTGTATTAATTTATACGTTAAAAAAATACGTATATTTTGCACGTACGTCCAGCTTACGGTTGTATATCGTCACTCCCTACCTATTATCCCGTAACTTCAAAACGCAAATTTTAGAGGAGAGCAGTTTAAAAGTAAAGCTTCATATAGTTTCTCTAGTTAAGGGATCTTTTTAAATTTTTACCTTACTTATGAATATTTTTTTTTAATATTTGGTGAGACCACACACATAAAGAACATGACTTTCTAATTATCACTATGCAATAAACTGAAAATCCTGTATGTGACACTTATGTAATTATACGTAGGGAGTGACGATATAAAGTTCTATTTCTGGATTTAAATATGAAGATCAAGTTAGATAATTTTTGTGGTATTCATATTTTCTTATTCAGATAATAGAACAATAAGTAAACGCAAAATTGTACTGATATGACATTTTAAATATTAATATAAAGTAGAAATCTATTAGATCACAGGAAAAAAATACGGTTTAAAAGTAGATCATTGAAGTAGTGCTTCAAAGTCCGTACCAGAGACTTTGAGAAGTTGAAAGAATCCGACATTATTCCTGTTTCTTTTCCTAAGGACAAGAATGTCTAAAGATTTTCTATTCGTCAAAAAAAGGTTTGTATAGAAGATTGTTCTGTTTAGTTTTTTCACGATTATATATTATATGCTACATTCAGAACTACATTTGTATTTAAGAAACGTTTATAAAATAACATTGCAAAAATACACTGTTAATGTTTTCTTGCTTACTGAGTTGGACTTGTGTCAAAGAGTACAGAGTTAAGACAAAGAAACAGGTCTTGAAGAGTTGTATCATCAGAGACTTGATTTTTGCAATGATTTTTACAAAAGTGTATGATTTTTACAAAAGAGTATGATTTTTACCAAATATATTCTGTTTAAACTATATCACAATGTAATTCATAACATTTTGTTTCCAAAAATTTTATTTCCAATCAAATACAATATAGAAATTATCATAATACATAACATGTATACACCATATACACCAAATACAACAGTTATAATATCTGTCGAACATTAAAATAAATCTCATAATCATACTAAGTAATACTACTAAACATATAAGTTTAATGCACGTTTAACATAAATAGTTATATATTATCTGATGGACTCTACACGTCACAAAAAAGTCAATTATTTAAACATAGCACGCGCCTGTATACTAGTAACAAATAAAATAAAACCATTAATTGATAAATGATTATTTATATTAAATAATACATGGTCTCTAATTAAGTAACATAATATCAAACTTCAAGATTCTTTATTTAAAAAAAATTACTTCGTTATCTCATATTTTTTCAAATAAAATTATTAGACCTCTTAGAAAAACTTTTTAAAATTATTAGATTTCTTAGAAAATTATTAGACTCCATCAGACAGGATTAAAAAATGTTTGTAATTTTAATGAGTAAGTTATTGAAAAAAACAGAATAACAATGATATAAAATTAAAAAAAAAACAATCTGCAAAAATAAAACATAATAGTGAACAGATTGTGATAAAGATGAGAAAATTAATAAGATGAGATAAAACTAACAGTTGACACATAATTTATAAGAACTTAAGTTTACTTTTATCAGTATTCATGTTTCTTCTAAATAAGTTTATCTTAAAGGGCGCCTTAAATGTTTCTACGTTTTTTGAACTTTTGTGCCGTCGGCGACTTTGAATCTTGATTCTCATCAAAGTTATCAGATTTGTCAGATATGTTTTCTAGTTCACAATAATTTTCTTTCGAAACATGCTTTAATGGAATCGTCTCTTTTTTGGAAAACACTAAAATAAGGCTTGCATAAACATTTTCGACGTCGCTTGCGGGCGCATTCCCTGTACATCCAAATTCATAAGAATACTTAGTTACTTCATCAAATTTTTTTCCTCCAACTACTGGAGAATTTACAAATTGTAACTCTTCAATCGGATGTAGCATATCTCTTTCTTCTTCACTTATACTGTCACATAAGATTTCATCTTCGTTCAACTCATTTATAATTGATATAATATGTCCATATTGTTCTATGTCATCATAGTATACATACATATCAAATTTAAAACCTGTATCTTTTAGTACTTTACAAAAAATCTGATCATCTCCTTTTAAAACGGTAATCAGATCATCAGGAGTGTTTTTTACAATATTAAAACCATAAAAGTGGAAAGGATGATATGCAAATAGTTTTTTATTAAATTCTGGCTTTAACTGTATTTTGTTTATATATCTAACTAATTCTTCTTCTAAACCTCTTTTCAATGATTCGATTGACAATTTTCCATACTTTTTATTTTTTTTAATATTAGAAATTATAACATTATAGACTATGGTTATTCTGTTTCCTTCAGTGACTTCACTGATAGAATGATCACAATCAGTAAAGAAGCAAGCCCATTGTATTTTCTTTTCTTTTGATTTTGAAGACCAATCAATATCAACATCAATACCGCGCTTATTTGATACTTTTAAAATTCCACCACTAAAAGTCGAAGGCAGACATAAAACTAATGAAGCTATCATATTTTTATCTTTAATTGTATCTTTATGAGTTAAAAAGAAACCACCCTTTTGATATATATTCAATTTGTATGGTTTTAATGTGAATTGTTTTCCATTTAAAAGTTGTTTTACAGAATATTTAATTTCAGGCTTTGATTCAGGATTGAATTGAAAAGAAAAACGATCTGAGCTAAGTTGTTTAGCAATTCTTACATTTTCATCAAAAACTAATTCTCTTTTATGTCCAAAACCAGATTCTTCACAAGCTAAAAACAACTTATTTATTTGTTCTGTATCATAGTTCCATATATTCAAGACATCTGATTGCCCAGTCTTTGTTTCATAAAATAATTTTGAATCTTCATTAGAAATGTCTAATTCACCTTCCATACAAAACTTATTCTTCGAATCATATCTTTTGAAGATATCTTCAAATTCACATATTGTTGACGAACTAGCCATTTTTACTGCAAATAATTTCAAATTTGTTCAATAATTCAAAAAAATATTTTTTATAACTTTTTTTAGGGTAGTTTGCAATGTTTATACATTACTTTGCAACGTTGCAACAATGCTGTACTATAAAGTTGCAATATTTTACATGAGATCGTTGTGTTAAGGCTTTAGATGTTTCTTCTGTGTAATAAATGGCAATTTGTTCTTTGCTCTAGTCCTCCAAACTTATCTCATTCAAAGAGAAACCACTGCTGTAGAAATCTATATCATAAAAGAAAATAGTTAAAAATTCTTATTCTTTTTTTTAAAATTTATTTTTCTACATGCAACGTTTATTTTTTTGTGCTAATAAGATATATAACAATAATAACACACTATATTACTACAAATCAGATAAGGTAAAAAAGTAGCCATGATATACAATTGCTATCTTTCTTACAACAAATTATCTGATTTTTTTATATTTTGTTATTTAAGCAATTAATATGTAACAAGACAAAGAGTTACATTTCAACAATTATATTAATTTTTTTTTTTCTCAATACTGTTCATCTCTCTCTTCTACCAAATTGCTATCTCACAGTTGTGTGTTCACACATATAAAGAATAAATAGTTACATTACATTATATTCTACTGATTTTACCAGAGTAAAAGCCCTATTAGAGAAAAGCTGACTTGAGATTTTAAGACAATATTTTATGCCTTCAATACAGTGAACTTATTACTTTCATGTAAATCCTATAGTTATTTATTTTTTGCAAACATTCACTTTACACACATTTCAGACTTGAGATATAAAACAGCATTGCGCATTATTTAAGACAAGTAACGTACGATACTATATCGCGTATGAATTGTTTTAATACAAATCTGCTATTCTGTAAAAGTTTAATTATAGGAGATATATAAATGGTGAAAGGCTTTCGATACAGAGAAAACGTATCTGTTTAATAGTTTGATTGTACAACCAGAGAGAAGCCTGAGAGCGGCCAGGCCCATAAGAGTTTTTGGGTACCATTATTCCGGCCCGTAAGCTAGCGCATGTCCATGGGTGGTGCACATTGGCAACTACGTAGCGATGTCCACGAGCGAGTTGTCGATACGTATGCTATG